AGAGGCACCATTATCAGCAAGGTCACAACAGCAGGTGCCAGCATTATCAGCAATGTCACAACAACAGGTGCCACAATTATCAGTAATGTCACAACAGCAGGTGCCACAATTATCAGTAATGTCACATTAACAGGTGCCACAATTATCAGTAATGTCACAACAGGTGCCACCATTGTCAGTAATGTCACAACAGGTGCCATCATTATCAGTAATGTCACAGCAGGTGCCACCATTGTCAGTAATGTCACAACAGGTGCCATCATAATCAGTAATGTCACAACAGGTGCCACCATTATCAGTAATGTCACAACAGGTGCCATCATTATCAGCAATGTCACAACAGGTGCCACCATTATCAGTAATGTCACAACAGGTGCCATCATTATCAGTAATGTCACAACAGGCGCTATTGATATCAGTAATGTCACAACAGGTGCTATCGATATCAGTAATGTCACATTGATAGGTGCCACCATTATCAGTAATGTCACATTAACAGGTGCCACCATTATCAGTAATGTCACAACAGGTGCCAGCATTATCAGTAATGTCACAACAGGTGCCAGCATTATCAGTAATGTCACAACAGCAGGTGCCACAATTATCAGTAATGTCACAACAGGTGCCACCATTATCAGTAATGTCACAACAGGTGCCACATTTATCAGCAATGTCACAACAACAGGTGCCATCATTATCAGCAATGTCACAACAACAGGTGCCATCATTATCAGCAATGTCACAACAACAGGTGCCATCATTATCAGTAATGTCACAACAACAGGTGCCACAATTATCAGTAATGTCACATTAACAGGTGCCACAATTATCAGTAATGTCACAACAGGTGCCACCATTGTCAGTAATGTCACAACAGGTGCCATCATTATCAGCAATGTCACAACAACAGGTGCCATCATTATCAGCAATGTCACAACAGCAGGTGCCACAATTATCAGTAATGTCACAACAGCAGGTGCCACAATTATCAGTAATGTCACAACAGGTGCCAACATTGTCAGTAATGTCACAACAGGTGCCAGCATTATCAGTAATGTCACAACAGGTGCCAGCATTATCAGTAATGTCACAACAGGTGCCACCATTAACAGTAATGTCACAACAGGTGCCACCATTATCAGTAATGTCACAACAGGTGCCACCATTATCAGTAATGTCACAACAGGTGCCATCATTATCAGTAATGTCACAACAGGCGCTATTGATATCAGTAATGTCACAACAGGTGCTATCGATATCAGTAATGTCACATTTACAGGTGCCACCATTATCAGCAATGTCACAACAACAGGTGCCATCATATCAGTAATGTCACAACAGAGGCACCATTATCAGCAAGGTCACAACAGCAGGTGCCAGCATTATCAGCAATGTCACAACAACAGGTGCCACAATTATCAGTAATGTCACAACAGCAGGTGCCACAATTATCAGTAATGTCACATTAACAGGTGCCACAATTATCAGTAATGTCACAACAGGTGCCACCATTGTCAGTAATGTCACAACAGGTGCCATCATTATCAGTAATGTCACAGCAGGTGCCACCATTGTCAGTAATGTCACAACAGGTGCCATCATAATCAGTAATGTCACAACAGGTGCCACCATTATCAGTAATGTCACAACAGGTGCCATCATTATCAGCAATGTCACAACAGGTGCCACCATTATCAGTAATGTCACAACAGGTGCCATCATTATCAGTAATGTCACAACAGGCGCTATTGATATCAGTAATGTCACAACAGGTGCTATCGATATCAGTAATGTCACATTGATAGGTGCCACCATTATCAGTAATGTCACATTAACAGGTGCCACCATTATCAGTAATGTCACAACAGGTGCCAGCATTATCAGTAATGTCACAACAGGTGCCAGCATTATCAGTAATGTCACAACAGCAGGTGCCACAATTATCAGTAATGTCACAACAGGTGCCACCATTATCAGTAATGTCACAACAGGTGCCACATTTATCAGCAATGTCACAACAACAGGTGCCATCATTATCAGCAATGTCACAACAACAGGTGCCATCATTATCAGCAATGTCACAACAACAGGTGCCATCATTATCAGTAATGTCACAACAACAGGTGCCACAATTATCAGTAATGTCACATTAACAGGTGCCACAATTATCAGTAATGTCACAACAGGTGCCACCATTGTCAGTAATGTCACAACAGGTGCCATCATTATCAGCAATGTCACAACAACAGGTGCCATCATTATCAGCAATGTCACAACAGCAGGTGCCACAATTATCAGTAATGTCACAACAGCAGGTGCCACAATTATCAGTAATGTCACAACAGGTGCCAACATTGTCAGTAATGTCACAACAGGTGCCAGCATTATCAGTAATGTCACAACAGGTGCCAGCATTATCAGTAATGTCACAACAGGTGCCACCATTAACAGTAATGTCACAACAGGTGCCACCATTATCAGTAATGTCACAACAGGTGCCACCATTATCAGTAATGTCACAACAGGTGCCACCATTATCAATAATGTCACAACAGGCGCTATCGATATCAGTAATGTCACAACAGGAGCAATCGATATCAGTAATGTCACATTAACAGGTGCCACCATTATCAGTAATGTCACATTAACAGGTGCCACCATTATCAGTAATGTCACAACAGGTGCCACCATTGTCAGTTATGTCACAACAGGTGCCACCATTATCAGTAATGTCACAACAGGTGCCATCATATCAGTAATGTCACAACAGGTGCCATCATTATCAGTAATGTCACAACAACAGGTGCCACCATTATCAGTAATGTCACAACAGGTGCCATCATATCAGTAATGTCACAACAGGTGCCATCATATCAGTAATGTCAAAACAGGTGCCATCATATCAGTAATGTCACAACAGGTGCCATCATTATCAGTACTGTCACAACAGGTGCCATCATATCAGTTATGTCACATTAACAGGTGCCACCATTATCAATAATGTCACAACAGGTGCCATCATTAACAGTAATGTCACAACAGGTGCCACCATTATCAATAATGTCACAACAGGTGCCACCATTATCAGTAATGTCACAACAGGTGCCATCATTATCAGTAATGTCACAACAGGTGCCATCATTATCAGTAATGGCACAACAGGTGCCACCATTATCAGTAATGTCACAACAGGTGCCATCATATCAGTAATGTCACAACAGCAGGTGCCACAATTATCAGTAATGTCACAACAGGCGCAATCGATATCAGTAATGTCACATTAACAGGTGCCACCATTATCAGTAATGTCACATTAACAGGTGCCACCATTATCAGTAATGTCACATTAACAGGTGCCACCATTATCAGCAATGTCACAACAGGTGCCACCATTATCAGTAATGTCACAACAGGTGCCATCATTATCAGTAATGTCACAACAGGTGCCATCATTATCAGTAATGTCACAACAGGTGCCATCATTATCAATGTCACAACAGGTGCCACAATTATCAGTAATGTCACAACAGGTGCCACCATTGTCAGTAAAGTCACAACAGGTGCCATCATATCAGTAATGTCACAACAACAGGTGCCACCATTATCAGCAATGTCACAACAGGTGCCATCATTATCAGTAATGTCACAACAGGTGCCACCATTATCAGTAATGTCACAACAGGTGCCATCATATCAGTAATGTCACAACAGGTGCCATCATATCAGTAATATCACAACAACAAGTTCCAAATCTTTAGTAAGGTCTCCATAATGGTTGTCATCATGCATGTCAACATAATAGAAGTCATCAAATTGGTGTCATAGTCAAAGACCTAGCTGTCGTATTTGTGGTGTCATCATCACCTTGTTGCTTTTAATACACATAGTTATCATAGTTATTACAAAGATCATAAACGGAAATATGGCAAGCAAGGCTGCCATCCCCGAACAGCCCATCTCCTTCCCTGCAGCACTCAACATGCCATGTGCCCCTGATGCCTCTTGAAGCGACAAGCTGGAAGCGAAGGTGTCCGGGTCTGTCAGAGGTTATCTCCAAGAGGTTGTGACAGTTGGTGGTGCTTGTCCTGGGTCTTGTCTCTCTGACTCGCTGAGGATGTGCGCAGATGACGATGTGACAAAACTGATTATTCTGTAAAGTTTGTTATGTAAATATCCTTCATGTGTAATTAGGTGTCTCATAAGATAAGACATAGCATGCTTTGCAAAACCATTACTGTCAACGATGTGTGAATGACAGGTTGATCATGATGTGTTCATCAACAGGCCCATCAGGAGGAACAACACACTTTCAAGGAAATGAAACTGCAAGCAAACCCAGGTGAATGCCTTAAGCTCATATGAATGTCTGTGTAAATTTTCCGAGGTAAATTAGAGATACTTCGACAAGTGGAAAGTGCTGTACATGCAAACCGGATGTTGGTAGTAGCAACTACCATTTTTTTGCTGGGCAGTAAAAATTGTGATTTCACCCAAACACAAGGAGCATGGTTGTGGCAGAATTTTAGCGCTTTTACTGAATAATCTGAACTTAATCTAATTACATCGCACACCAAAGGGATTCTGGACCACAATCATTGTATTTATATACACCATTCAATATTAAGTTCAATATTTCTTAATTTATTTTTGGTGTCATCTGGTGCGATAACGACAAGTCGAAAACAAGGTACTTGTCAGTGTAAAAATGACATCAGTACAATTGTGTGTCAAGTGTAGCTCTATTATGGTATTTTAGGTTTGAATCAATGTATCACCTTTCTGTGATACAAAATGTACGAGTTGATGGTAGTTACTTTAACACTGTCTAGGTTGTTGTTTTATAGAAGCTGACTGTCGTGGTAGTTGTAGTTTGACAAAATCTCATTTATACCTTGTTCCTGCTTTTCAATTTGGCGATAGGCCAAGAAGGACCCCAGTTCAGGATGTGCATCTGAAGCTATTTAATCAGGAGAAGAGGTATGACTAATTCAGTTACCTACCTGTTTTAACACCAGTTTCTTCAAATACCTCCCTTACAGCTGTAGCACCTACAACAACAAAAAACAGTGGGCGAGTGAGTGAGTGGTGGCCTAGTGAGTGAGTGTTTGGGTGAGTAGTGGGTCAGTAGGTGAGTAAGTGAGTGTTTTGGTGAGTGAGTGAGTGGTGGGCAAGTGAGTGGTGGGTGAGTAGGTGGGTGAGAAATTGTTTGGGTGATTGAGTGAGTGGTTTGCAAGTGAGTGAGTGTTTTGGTGAGTGAGTGAGTGTTTGGGTGAGTGGTGGGTCAGTAGGTGAGTGAGTGAGTGGGTGAGTGGTGGGTCAGTAGGTGAGTGAGTGAGTTGTGGGCAAGTGAGTGAGTGAGTGAGTGTTTGGGTGAGTGGTGGGTGAGTAGGTGGGTGAGTGAGTGTTTTGGTGAGTGAGTGAGTGGTTTGCAAGTGAGTGGTTTGGTGAGTGAGTGAGTGTTTGGGTGAGTGGTGGGTGGGTAGGTGGGTGGGTAGGTGGGTGAGTGAGTGTTTTGGTGAGTGAGTGAGTGGTTTGCAAGTGAGAGTGTTTTGGTGAGTGAGTGAGTGTTTGGGTGAGTGGTGGGTGGGTAGGTGGGTGAGTGAGTGGGTGAGTGAGGTGAGGTGGGTGAGGTGAAATGGGAGTTTAACGTCACGTCCAAGATTATTGCACTTATATAGCGACGTGCATGTACGTGTATGTGTGTGTGGCTGCTTGTACTAGTCCGGACTGATGCCGATTTATAGTGCTAGCACACTGAGATACCATGCCACAGTTTAACATGAATACCCCACTCACACACAGTATACTGACTTCGAGCCGACCAGTCCTTATTTTAGCCCCTTAATGCCGAGCGCCAGACAGGGTAACAACAAGTATCATCTTTTAACGTCTTTTGGTATGACGCGGCTAGGGATCAAACCCCGGACCTTCCGCTCTCTGGGCGGGCGCTCTACCATTAGACCAAGGAGGCGGTCTGAGTGGGTGAGTGAGTGTTTGGGTGAGTGAGTGAGTGGTGGGCAAGTGAGTGAGGGGGTGAGTGAGTTGTTGGCAAGTGAGTGAGTGAGTGTTTTGGTGAGTGAGTGAGTGTTTGGTTGAGTGAGTGAGTGGTGGGCAAGTATGTGAGTGGGTGAGTGAGTGAGTGAGTGGTTGGTGAGTGAGTGTTTTGGTGAGTGAGTGGGTGTTTGGGTGTGTGGTTGGTGAGTGAGTGGGTGAGTGAGTGGTGGGCAAGTGAGTGAGGGGCTGAGTGTTTTGGTGAGTGAGTGAATGTTTGGGTGAGTGAGTGAGTGGTGGGCAAGTGAATGAGTGGTTGAGTGAGTGAGTGAGTGTTTGGGTGAGTGGTGGGTGAGTAGGTGGGTGAGTGAGTGTTTGGGTGCTTAAGTGAGTGGTTGGCAAGTGAGTGAGTGCTTTGGTGAGCGATGTGAGTGAGTGTTTGGGTGAGTGGTGGGTGAGTAGGTGGGTGAGTAGGTGGGTGAGTGAGTGTTTGGGTGATTGAGTGAGTGGTTGGCAAGTGATTGAGTGTTTTGGTGAGCGATGTGAGTGAGTGGTGGGCACGTGAGTGAGGTGGTGAGTGGGTGAGTGAGTGAGTGAGTGAGCCAGTGAGTAGGTGGGTGAGTGAGTGAGTGGTGGGCAAATGAGTGAGTGGGTGGGTGAGTAGGTGGGTGAGTAAGTGTTTGGGTGATTGAGTGAGTGATTGAGTGAGTAGGTGGGTGAGTGAGTGTTTGGGTGAGTGAGTGAGTGGTGGGCATGTGAGTGAGTGGGTGAGTGAGTGACACCAGTGTTATCAATATTTGAACATGTCATATTTTTTATGCCCCCTTGAATCTCTCCACGACCCTATCCCTGAGCTAGGTGATAAGTCTTGTACAGTATTACCCTCATGCAGCCCAACAACAACACAGTCATCCCAACAAGGAACGGTCAAGGCTTAATAACAGAAACACATTTCCCATGGATCATTACATATACCACATAACTCCAACTCCGAGGACGGGGGCACACTAAAGAAGAATATTACATTGGAGATTAACTTAAGTATATATGTTTGTAGACGTAATATTCCTTTGATGTGTGTCTGTATCGAGTAAGTACAAAGGTAGGTGTGCACACATTCCTGTGTAGATGACAATTTAGAAAGGCAATTACATGTTAAATTGTCACTCTGGGTATCTTGAGTACATGGAAACAAACACTTACAGCAGCGTAATTGAGATAGACATGTTTCATAAAGCCATGTACATGACAGTGGATCAAAAACGTGTGAAATGTACAGACGTATATTACAATCTTTAGTCTTCCCACAACAGACAGGGCTTGTAGATTACATTGTTCATTTCCAATTCAGTCGCACTTTATCTGTCTGGCCAGAAGCTGTTCCTTCAGCTGAAGGGGCTGAGAGCCTTAACTTCCACGGGGTCTCCCTCAAATTGGCTTATTACCACCTATCACTCCCTTCACTCTTACCACAGCGATATTGGAGAAAGTTGCGACCAAACAAAGCCAGCCTTCTGACTAGCTCAACCATATTGTTAGCACTGTAAGTTTATTACGATGGAGTCATCTCTTCATAAATCTGGCTGTATGGCCTTATCATGAAATTGACTTGTTTATTGTATTTCTCTCGTTCCTTTCATCGGGTGACCACTGGTGTTATTCACTCAGTTGGGTCACTTTTCTCTTAAAGGTGAAGCAAGAGGTCTTAGTGGCCAAAAAACATATTCCCTGTACTAAGGCTGGGACGGGTAACTCGAGTACTCGGGTAGGGTTGGTCCTGAGTAGGACCCGGATACCCACAGGACTACCCTGACCCCGTGGTTAGTCACGTGATATATTGTTTAATGACAAAAATTATCTAAAACTCTATGATTACACTATAAGTCACTAATGTTCCCATTTCTTTCTGACAATGCACCTGACTGACTTTTATGTGTTTGAATAAAGATAAAACTTCATGCAGTAAACTTCAGTGTATGCATGACCAGATCGTTTTACACGTGTATCTAAATACATTTTGCCAGGGCTAAGGTCAAACTTTTCCAAATCGGATAGTTTGTACCTATCTCTAAATATCTACAGCGGGTACCCGGGTAGGGTCGTGTAATAGGGTGGTGGGTACCCGGGTAGTAAATTTGGACTCGTCCCAGCCCTACCCTGTACGTGGTGTCATGAACATTAGTTTACTGGTGCATTGAAACGGCATTGTGTACATTTCACCTGATATTCTGCATTGAAACCCAGATAAGTAGTCTGTTTCCACTGGGTCAATACAAAGCATACTCTATGAGAATTACCACTTTAAAATATCGCTTCCAAGATCATAAAAAAATATTTTTTCATTTCAAGTACTTCACAATGTCTTGAAGAAATTTTCAGCTGCGTAAACAAATCCTTCATTGAGCACTGGAGTATTTGTTTATATGAGCTGTGAGTGAGTGAGTTTGGTTTTACGCCGCTTTTAGCAATATTTCAGCAATATCACGGCGGGGGACACCAGAAATGGGCTTCACACATTGTACCCATGTCGGGATTCGAACCCGGGTCTTCGGCGTGACGAGCGAACGCTTTAACCACTAGGCTACCCGACCGCCCCTATATGAGCTGTGACATTTTTACTGCTTGTATTATATATAGTTAATAACTATATTTTTTTCAAAATAATTCGTCTTGTTTCTGTTTGAGACATGTAACATCTGTCACTAGTTTATCAAAGCCATGAAATAATATTATTGCCAAACAGATATTTTTTTAATTAATGGGTGTAGCAAATCAAGGATGACAGTAAGACAGATTAATATGAATAAGCTATCAATATGAATGAAATGCTGCAGCTGCCCAAAATAGCATGCACATCCATTTTTTCCTGTTACAAAAGTAATATTTCAAAGATTTCCTCATTAATGCATCTCCATTCACAGGGCAGACAAATCTGTCAAGTATGTATATAATTAACATTAGTTTCTAATCCTGGCCTGTCACTTGTGAAGTCAGCTGCCACTTACTCAGTGAAATAGACAGGCGTACCTTGCACTTCTATAAGGTATACCATATGTTTTGCTGAGGTCTTGCCAAGCAATAAGGCCTTGTGTACATTGAGAAATGTTCTACTTTACCTAATTGTGCATCATATCCTGAAGCCACAAGCCTACAAATAACCAACTTCATATCAATTGCAAAGCTTATCCGTTATTAAAGAAAATTCTGTTTTTAATTCTGTTAAAATTGACATCTAAATCTCTCCTTCACATTAGAGAAAACCTGATTGCATTTCTAAAACTCTTATCCAAACAATTCAAACTGTGGTTTATCTAACAGAATAATTGAACCCAGTTGTGGAATCCTGACATTTTTCTGTATATCATCAAAAAAGATAATAACAGGTAAATGTACATCCCATTTTTCGTAACACAAACATTTAATAAGCACCCTTTGTTAATTGTGATGATTTGTCATTTTTTTCCAGACATGATTGTGCCAGTAGATAAAAGAATATTGAGCAGTTGGCAAAGTACATTTTTCTGCAAGCACTGAACAGACTTTGGCATCTTACCCAAAGGGCAATTAAGTGTGCACAGTTTTGTTTGATCTATTTAACAATTCAGCAGCCACTTAAAGATGTCTGCTGGTTTGGTTTTGTGTTCACTGTGCAACCCAAACTGGCGAGTATAGGGAGTCTTTTAACGACGTATTTTCAGTCAGTCTATTGCATATATGAAGGGACGAGAGAGTGAGTTTGAATTAATGCTACTTTTAACAGTATTCCGGTTATATCACGGTGTGTCAACTTAATGTGGGAGGAATGCCCAAAGTGATGCAGGTCTCAGACATTTACCACTTTAGTGAAACCAAGAAGCACAGGAATGGCACTGACAAACCTGGAAACATAACCAGGGCGAACCGGGATTTGAACCCACAATAATAGGTTTCTGTGTATCCAAGGGACGCAACTCTGCACAGTCTTAAATGACAGGGCCGCCTGTGCCTCCATATGAAGCAGTGAAGCAATGAAGCCTAGAATCAGACTACAAGTCAAATCATCAAATGTAGGGCGCAA